ATTTGCTTTTACTTTTGAGAAGCTACAGGTGTCACAATACGAAAAAATGAAATTCCGTAACGCGTGGCCACGCCCTTATGCAGAGCATTTGATAGTCTGCTGAGGGGAGCTATCAGTCGCTGTGAAGACCCATGAAGGGTGTCTGTCACTGTCTGTGATGGGTCACGTGACTGTCTGTCACGGTCTTTGATGAGTCCACGCGCTGTCTGTCACGATCTGTGGGGAGAGGGAGGGGGTGGGTCCAAATTTCTACCCGTAAACACTTTAATACTCCTTTCAGATCGTGTTTCACAAAAATACATTTGAATGGAACCTCTTCAGAAAATTCATCTTCATATCCGAAAGTTTCCTCATTCATAATGTGTCTCTGAAAATATCTTCTGGCTTTCAAGTTTTCAGAAATCAATAAATTTTTAAGAGTTCAGATCAAAAAAATTCTCAACCACATTCTCAGAAACTATATTCTATTTTCGAGAATCTAAAGATTTCTTCAGAAACCTCTTTTAAATTGAAAATCTTCTCAGAGTTGAAAAAACTATGCCATTTAATTTTCCATCACAATTCCAAGATCAAATATTTAGAATTTCTTCTGCATTTTTAATGGTAAAACTAAAGTTAAACAAATCTATTGGCACGTTATTACCCATGATGAGAAATTTAAAAGATTTTTGATAGTTTTGAAATACAAGCGGACTACAGTGAGTCTTCTATACAGGGTTCCAGATTGATTTTGGGAGAGATGTGCTAAAAGTTTGGCAGAAAGTTTACCTTTTTTTCGCAAAAAGTCAATGTTATTTCTGTTAAATTTCTCGCAGAAAATCCATATTATCCGTGTCAAGTTTCCGAACTTTAGCAGAAAACGCGACAAAAATAACAGCAAGTCCTTCGGGAAATATTTAGTGGTAATAGCATCGACTTTCTGTGAGAAATTGGCTAGAAAAACTTCGGTCTTCTGGGAAAAATTCGTTGGAAAGGAGAGTAACTTTATGAGAGAAAGTTGGCAAAATGAGCGTGATTTTCTGAAAGAAATTCGGCATAGATGACTCGACTTTCTGAAAGACATCTGCTAGAAACAATATTGACTTTTATGAAATATTTGGAAGAAAAGACTTCGATTTTCTGAGAGAAATTTCGCAGAAAGTATTATCAAAACCTTTGGCAGAAAGACTGAAATTTTTGGGAGGGGAAGCTCCTCTCCCATCCCCCTAATCGGTAAGCCAATTTCTATAACACATAAATTAGTCTCTATTCTAAGATTAAGTGCATAACATTTCCAACATTTATCTCAAGTTTGTAGTAATTTGATTGACGAATATACATAAAAAAACAGTACTCTTACATGATGATGGCAAAAAAAATGGAAGAAAGCATTAGCGAAAGGAACGTCAAACGAAAAATTATCTATATTTATAATAAATTTTTTGTTTCTTCACACTGAAAAGTGCACTGTTTTTATTTAATTCATCACTGTGAATCATACATTAGTTATCTATGCTTCAGAGTCATAATTTATGAGTTTTTCAGATTCTTTTCATAATAGGACGTATCACGATAACAGATATGTTCATTTTTAGTGACCTATTAAAGCGAACAAAACAGATGTAAACATCTCATTTGTAGAATTCAGATAAAGAAGTGAATTGCACACCCTATATGAATGGAAAAATCAACTTTCTATATTGTTTATGAACAAAGGAATATGCAATAGAAAAATGGCGTAAAACTTTTATCTCACTCTTACCGTTTAGATAGAAATATATGTATGTGTTCTTTATATTTCATTTGATTTTATTTCAAAGAAAAAGAAAAGAAAAACGAGAAAAGAAACCTTGAAAATAAAGATTAATTTTTTAACTAATGAAAACTTATTCATACTGATGAGATGTGGAAAACCTTAAGAAATAGTGAGAGAAACAGAACGATTAAATAATCTGAAAAAAGAATCAGAGAAAGGCGGTAGGCGAGATGAATACAAAAAGAAGAAGCGATAGAACTGGAACTGGAAACAGAATCCCATATCATTGTACTAAAACGGAAAATGGCCAGTTCATAATAAACAGATGTGTTTCAGAACTTTATATTATCAGTAGAAAATATCTGCCGAAAAGCTTTTACCACTTCATATCTATATACCTTCATAACTTGGCTTTTTTCTTGGAAAAGGAAAGGTAGGAAAAATTAAAAACTGTTTCTTTAGAAAATGAAAATACTATCTGTTGTTTGATGCTTGCTGCTTACTCACAATGAATAATTAGTGACATATGGTATGAGAAAAGTTCCATACAATGAGGTTTGTCTATGCTAGTTTCACCTAAAATAATTCTTACTTTGAAGAGTATCATTTGTTTGCACTATAACAATAGTATATAGTGTATTTTAATTAGAGAGTCAATTTTGTTTAACTACAACTAATATACACATAGAGTACAATATTCGAAGCTCTGCTCTCAAACAAATCACTTTAACTTCATCACGGGAAAACGGCTAATTTCAAAGTAGAGGTGGTAGTCTCCTTTCTTAAAAGAACAATTGTCGACTTTCCTTACTTTTTCTTTCCAACAGCAAAGTCGGATTATGTAGGTATATATAGAGACGTAAAGAGATAAACGCGTTTGTACATATATGTTATCGAATTAAAAAATAAAGTTCTGAAATACATCCTATTCGATGTGAATTGACCATTTTCTATTTCTACTAAAATGATATGATCTTCTGTCTCCAGTTTCATTTCTCTCGCTTCTGACATCAGATCATGTTTATATCTTTTCTTTTTATATTCAACTCACCCATGACACTTCTACAAATTTTTCTCTTTCTCCTTCTCTTTCTTAAACTTCAATCTTTTGTTGAATGAATAACAAAAATTCTCGTTAATATTATGTTCTTGACGAAAGAATATTACTGATATTTTTTTCTACACCTCATCAGTACTAATAAGTTTTCATCAAAGTAAAAGTTAATCTTCATTTTTTAAAGTTTCTTTTCAAATTACAATTACAAAAGATAAACAATACGTATCCTATATAGAAGGCATTGCGCATAGACTAGGATCAACGTTGCTCAATTGATGTCACCGATTTGGCTGATATTTTTACATTGAATAGGCCTAAAAGATTTAGGAAGAAACTGAAAATTTCAGCTCAAATGGATGAGTCATTTTGGAGATATAGACAATGGAAGTATGAAGGGGTAGGTCCCATTTGGAGTACCTTATAGTGCAATACTTCCCAGTAAATCTCCATTTTCTCGAGAACAACAAAAGATATAACCGAAATTTTTTTACCCTAAATACTATCGACGATGGGCTATATTTTTATGGTAACAAAAGTGTCCCATTGCTGGATGATTTTTGCCTGGCATTATATACCATTTTCAGAAAACATCCTCACGTAAATACGGCAAGTTGGTCGAATCAGCGCACTAGAATAAATCGAGACTAGTCTCATCTGAAAGAGCACATCAAAATACATTGACTGACGTTTTCAAAAGTTTGTAGGATTGAACTTTTAGCAAAGCGTTTTTTTTTAACAAGGCTGGAAAGGCCGAATTTGGGGTCCGATTCTCACTATGCAGATTAACGATTTATTTTCAAATGTGGGGTGTGGGTGTGGGTGTGGGTGGAGGTATGGGTGCGAGTGGGTGTGGCTGTAGATGAAAACAAGACCCACATCCACACCCATACCCCACCACCCACACCCACACCCACATCCTCCGAAAATATCTTCCTCTCTGTAAATTCCATTTCTGTCACTTCATTCGGTGAGTTCCATATTTTGTGTTCAAAGTACATTCTTTTTCAAATAAAACATAAGAATAATATTTGATATTGATACATAAATGTTTGAGGGATATTTCCAGAAATTCATTTATGTAGCAGTGTTTTAATAGAAATGATTCATATCCAAAGTCACACCTTAGTCAAGTCATATAAGTTTAATTCTCAAGACTAATCTTTTCAGCTGATCTATCAAACAAACTACGATCGTATGTCATCATGTCTAGAGTAGTCGTAAATGCTCATGCAGATAATTTCATAGAAATATACACTCGTCATATGCTTCACAAATTAATACCGAAATCTCAGCCTACTATAACTAGAGATGGCAACAAATGGGTCGAATTTTTGTATGAATTTAGTTTAAATATTTTTAAAACTTATTAACTACTATATAAAAACATGAATAGTTGAGAAGAATCTGAAAAGCATCTTGTGTCTGTTTATTATAACGTCGACATATTTTCATATGCAAACTGTTTTACGGTTATTTCATCTATAAATGTCATTCCTTTTCGTCATTTTTCAGACGATGGTCAAATCTACATGCCTAATTTCATCTCATATGAAAGCTAAATAGCAATGACTGCTACTTTACCTTTTGAATATCTTATGACCGTCTATATTAAATAAAAAAACGAATGATTGCCGTCCGCGGCTGTCGCTCTTATCCTTATAAATACGTACTTGTTGAAAAAAAACATACATTTCTTGTTTTCACTACAATGTCAATCGAGCTCTTGTTCACTTTGGGCAAAATTCTTATCAATAATTGGAATGATGGTAAACAAAATATTCTTCTGAATGTTGTTCGAAAAGTAATAATTAATTTGAAAGTAAGTCTGTCAAACAAAATAAGACAATGTATCTTATCAACACATTTCATTCAGACTAAATTAGGATTAAGACAAAATCTCAAGACACATTTTAACGATTTACCCAACGAAATTCTTCTCATAATATGTCACTATTTGACTCCAATACAAGTACTCAAAGCATTTTACAATTATGATAATCGTATGTTTTCTTGCATATTTGAATATCGACAAAATATCGATTTGACCAAATGTTCTTATTCGGATCTTCAATATTTTCTTCCATTATTCATCGAAAGATATTTTCGACCAGCAATATTGACTGCTAGTAATGATCGAATGCCCACACAGATTGAAATATTTTACCATGCGTGTAACTCACGATGGAACTTTCTTTTTTAACCATGAATCTAATCTTTGAAGATNTTGGATGTGAGTTTATTGTTGTCTCTCATCCAGACAATGTCAGGTTTCGGTGTTCTACTGACGCTGATTTTGAGTGTCATGGCTTCACCTTTTGTGGCTTGCAGTGCAGCATTGAGATCAGCGTTGATGACAGGTTTGATGCAAGCAATGTTCAATGTTGTTTTAGCTTCAGCTTCACCAAAAGCATTGGTTGCTCGAGCAGTATAGACACCTTGATCGGCAAGTTCAGCTTGATGAATCGATAGGATCGATGTTCCGTCATTAATCTCACTCACTTCAAAGCGATCGTTGATTGGAAGTGGTTGTCCATTGAAGAACCATGCCACTCGCGGTTTCTCAATGCCACTGAATTTCCATGAGATCTGAGTACGTTGACCGATGACATATGATTGATCGTTTACGGATTTTGAAGCTTCCACTTTGGGTTGAACTAAAAAATAAGTAATCGTTCGTATTATACATGGGAGATGATGAATCTACTCGGGATGGATGTGGGTGAATAGAAGACCCACACCTACACGCTGCCAGTCACACTCTACACTTTGTTTCTATGTGTTTAGCTTAATCAGGTAAGTTGAAGGTTTTAGTTTAAAAAGCATTTTGTTCTCTAAGTACGAATTTATCGATCAGTTTTCGTTCAATCATTTTTCGTAGAGTTAAGTAAGTAGACGTTTTCAAATCTGGTACATTTCTCGCTCTTTCAATAAAGATAACATACAGCTTTTTCGTTTAGTGAAGATGTATGTACGTATCTGCTAGCTTAGGAAGCATTCTCTCAAATATGGGATATCATTGAAACATATCGTGAACCTATAAATGGTGGTCCAGAAGTCCTGACTCGATTTTGTATAAAAAAATTTTCTTTAGTGAAACACGTGGTTGAAAATTTGTCTCTATGAAGAAAAGGTGCAGTAAAAGATACTCTACAAAATGACTGCTGATTGATCCTGCTAGCTCATCTATTAAGAAAGGTATAGGGTTAGAAATATGTGTCATAAAAAAAATTAACCCTGTACTCAGTCTCGATATTTGTGCTTTAACGCCTGTTCATTAGGCCCCATAGAACAAATTCTTTCATCCATAGAAGCGCCATGAAATTTTCTACAAAATTATACCTAAGCTTTAATTTCAAAACTTCAATCAAGAAAACTAAGCAAATGATGCACAAGGCGAAAAAAATGAAAATTTCCTAAGTTTGGCATTTTTTTCGATTTGGACTTTTTCAGCCTATTATTTTCGTGAAAAAGGGTGACAAAAGTGAGAACTCAGCTTGTGTTTGGTACTTTCAATTGCGCTCTTTCTCGTGGTCTGTAGAAAAAAATGTTCATCGTAGGTGGAGTACTCGAGAACCAAGTTTCAAAAATACGTGAAAAATTGACAACCCCGTTTTCGACAGTGTACCCAGCAGGAAACGGAAAATATGATCGAAGCTTTGATCTTGCAGCTAGCTAGAGAAGAGTAATCATTGCTGATCAAAACAGGACAAGCCTGATCGAAAAATCTCTTGTTTTGAGGAAGCTATGAGACTTTTACTCAAATCATCACAATGTAGATGATGTGCACGGTTAATTTTTCTTTTTCTCAACCGCATTTTGAAGCCTATATCTCTCTTACTAGATGAGTGAGAGGGATCAATCAATAGTCATTTTGTAGAGCATCTTGTCTTCATAGAGACAAATTTTCAACCACGCGTTTCACTAAAGAAAAGTGTTTTATACAAATTGAGTCAGGACTTTTGGGCCACCCTTTATGCCAGACACTATTCATTATCAACTATTTGGTTTTTGAACCATGTAATCAACATTAAGAATGATTAACAGTGGTACTCATAAACAGATTATCACTTAACCTACACTCAAGGTGTATGCTCACATTAATCAGTAATGGACAGGATCTGTTAACTTTACTAATTTTAAAACCCTATCAAATTACATTTTTCTATTCAATATTAAATACTTAATTAGAATCAATTAGTTCCACATTGTTTAAAACCTAACAATGAGGAAAAACGAATAAGTGTCTCAAAAAAATCCATTAATTTTTCGTCACACATCAGATCTTATCCAAAATTTATAAAAAGACGTGTGAAGAGGAAACCTGCCAATTATAGCCAAAACTTCATCTTTTCTTCCTTAGCACGTCTTGATTGATCAATGGTTCTTGATTTTTCACATAGCTATATCTTGATATCAAAAAGCCAATATTTTAGTAGAAAATAAAAGCAAATCTAATTGAAGGAATATGATCTTATATTGTTCACAGTTTACTTATTAAGGAAAACAAGTCGTCCTATCTTAAGTAAGGTGCCATAAAGATTTAACTGATTTGAACTTTTCAACAGAGAAAGCATTTCTTGCAAAATACTGACTACTGATAAAGTTTGGTCAGAGAATATCCAAATTAAGAAATCATAATCTCTGTAGATTATTTCACAAAAAAATCTATCAGAATGTGAAATATGTAGAATCAACTCACCAACTCAGACTCCCTGGTTCCCGAAATCTTTGACGAAGTTGTCGAAGAAGTTGCCGCTTTTTGGAAAATAAAGATTTATTTTCGTTTTAAAATTCGATGCACAAAATTTTCGGTTACTCATGAAAATTATTTTTTTTGACAGTAATTATCTTTTATAGTGTAAGTCAAAGATTCAAAAATCTCAAGAATATCGTCATGGAAGATCTTACTGCACTGATATTATTGCATTAGAAACATAGTTTTACTCATTGCAACTGTCATATTTGTGATCCACGTAAGTCAAATGACATATCTGTATGTGTTCAGACGTGAGAATAAAAATCAAGTTTTCTTCAAGTCTCTAGGGGTACACCAGGTCCAAAAAATTATGATGTTACATATAGTTAATTGGAATTGTGCAATACAAAAATAATTCGCAGATGAAAACTGAATTTTCAACTTTTTTTAAAGAACTTTTTCTACGGTAACGACATTTGCGTTTTAAAGGGATAAACACATAAGGTATTCAATGAAATCAAATTTACCTTGCATTCCAGATGTATCGCTAGATACAGGTATATTCTCTAGTAATGCTTTAAAAAGTTTCGGTATTATTCTCTTTTGAACTGCTTGTAAACCTTGTAACGAACCATATTCAGCAACATTATCTAACGCTAATTCATACAAATTGTCTCTGTCTTTGACTTGACTTTTTTCTAATAATTCAAATAATTTTGAACGATAATATTCACGTAACGCTTGAAATAAGACCGATCGCTTTTTATTATCAGAAAAATTTTCTACAGATTTTAAACCATTATTGGTTATTGCACACCATGAATCATTGAATGCATTTGTTTCATCGAAAAATTTGTCATCAATGCCTTCAAATAGAAGTTGCAAAACAATTGATAAGATTGGGCAATCTTTGAAGTATTTATGTCCATATTCAGCTGTACGCTTCAGAACAGAATCATAATTGACGGCATCTTTATATTCTTCTAAAAATGAAATAAACCACTGATTTGAAGAACCATATTTTATTTTCCATTGTTGTTCGAAGTATTTTTTCAGAGATTTCATCAGTTTGCCATCGTTTTCATTTATTGCTGCTTCATAGATATCTGGTAGAAGGTCTTCCTCATATTTAGACAATGATTGTCGACCATTTTCTAACAAATCATTTATAATTTTATCTTTTATTTCATATTCTTCCAAGTCAAGAGCGCGTATTATTTCATTCTCGGCTAATTTTAATATTTCATCATCGACGACATTGTCACGCTTTCCTGTTGAAGAAAGTTTGATTATTGATAAATTAGACGAATGGGTGGGTATGAGGTGCGTCTGTGTCTTTAGCTGCGAGTAATGACTAGACCTACACCTCAAAAACTAAAAGGTCCAAAATATTCAATAACTGAAAGAAATGTATAACAGTGCGTAATAGGATCAATCGATGGGAAAATTATTCGCATTTATGGAGTGATGCTTCTTTCTGTCTCAAGTCACCCACAGCAAGAAGAAATAGAACGAAATCATATACATATTTCTACCATTCATGGCACTTTCCCGTACACTTCCATTCAAATAGCCGCGTATCACTTACTGTAAAAAAGTGATAGGATTATGATCTGCTCTTGAGTTATTTTCGACTTCTACTTGTGAAGGTAGAAACTATTGAAGAATTTTTTTCTTTGTTCATGCTTAATTTCTTCTCACTCAAATGGACACAAATAACGCCTGTTTTTCTTTCAAAAGACAGCATTTTTTTTACTCTTTGAGTTGTAAGCCATCTCTGCTGTGAGCGAAACTATTTCGTGTCTTTGGAGTGTACTGTTCATCCCTAAGAGTGTACGAATGATTTAAAGATAGACACTGTCCATCAGCGAATGACTGAGAAAAAAAATAAGAGAAATAAATAGAAACCAGAAGATGATTGATTGTGAAACTCTCTCTTGCACAATCTATGACGTCACTACAATCAGTAGCTGCGGATGTGGGATAAAGGCAGGTGCCTGCATGTGTTCAGATATNCGAGGCATCTGCATTCTTAACATTTGATATGTTAATTGCGTCATAACTCGTACACTAACTATTTTTGCACTACGATAGAAAAAATCAGCCGCTAACAATATCACAATCACGACTGTCGCGTGCCAAGTTTGTTTCACTTTGTGTATAAAATTCTGAAATAAGGTCTTGATCTTTGATAATGGATGCTTTCTTGAAACTATTATCGTGTCTGCAGTCATCATATATATTAATCGTAGTATTGCGTGTGATATGTGTAGCATTCTGCAACGTATAATTTTAAACGATGAGATTGAATCGAATTTTTTGAATTTATGAACTATGTCTTTAAGAGATCGTCGATTACTGTCACTTGAAAAATCGAATTCATCATTGAACGAGCTCACGTCCATAGCAAAAAAGTCAAAAAACCAATGTTCACACAAACCACGGTTGTGTTGCATTTCTTCAATGTTCATAAGGAATAGCTTCAAATAATTTGAAGGATTTCATTTTTGACCTAGACATTCGTTTACCAACAGTTTCAACGATCAGTCATAGCCGAGCATCATGTGACAGAGGTGATAACGTTGTATAATCAACTTTGAAGAGAATTCAATGCAAATAGTGTGTAGGAGAATTGCGTATAAATTGAGCATAATGATTGGAACAGGAACAAAATATATTTATCATATTTTAAATAAATTTCAAAATTAATAAAGTGTTTGATAGTATTAATATCGATCTTATTGCCTTAATTGTTTGAATATTATCTGTTTAAAACCGATTATAAATCAACGATGATCTGGTCGACAAGTACAGATGACATTAGTCTGTAATTAGCGTTCATATATTTATAGTATAGGAACTGGAATTCTGATATGGATTTGATTTGTCTAAAATGAATGAAAAATGAGACCGCAGATGGATGAGGTGTGCTGCATTTTCGAAATGTCCTGTTCAATAGAGTTTGTACTCATTTGTTGTCGGATGATCTGACTTTTCTTGAATTTTTTGGAGACCATATGAAAAACATTTCGTCTTTTCGAAAATGATAATCTTTTAGTTTTCGAGAAGTTCAAGACTATCTAAAAATTGATTAATTCGACTATTAAGGCTAGAAGCGGTTACATCATGTTCTCAAGCATTTCTTTTTGTAATTTACAGAATCCTAGAGGCTTGTACGAGCAAACGTCAAAGATAGAAGTACTGTAGATTTTTTAGGACAAGTATTGATCAGTATAAGTTACGTGCCTGGAGGGCAGGAAGACAACTTTCCTCTCTGAAAATAGGCTTATGTTGGTGAGAAGTGGTAAAGAGAATATCTATGACTCGATTGAACAGTGTTGTGCCAGAGATCATAAACGAACTGTACTCGAATCAATAAAACTCGCTTTTTTTCAGTCTCTGCGTCATGTCATCTGAAAATTCTAACCCCTTACTCTTTTATACTAACTACATAACCTGTGTTAAGTTTGATTATGGACTAAAATTTTAGATCTTTTCGTAGAAGCTGACAAGAGTTATAGGATAAAACTTTCAATATCTTCTCGCAAACATAAAATAACAGTCTGAATGCAATCATGATAATGTATGTTCCAGATCTCATTCAAAGATCTGTCAATTTTCTTAATACCATGCATTGTTAGACAGAGAAAAGATTACTCGACAAAATTAGATTGTTCACTTGCCTAACTTTAATTTTGTTGAAATGTGAAGATACGAAGAGTAAAACTGTACTATTCTTTCTTCATAGAAACGATCAATATTTCGCAAAGTTCAGCATCATAACATAGAGACCTCATGCATTTTATTTACGCGTTGGAGAGTACTTTCGAAAAACTTCAAGATGAGTTTGGGTTCAATTATGAAAATGTTTCGAAACATACAATTGAAACCACTACAAATTGCATGAGTAGTTTGATTGTGAAATTTTTGTCAGTGCAGTTTCTGCATTTCAGTTTCGCACACTATGCTTATACTTAACAGCTTATGCCTGATCTGCACATAATGGCTAATTGTGCATAAGATAACCATATTTGAGACATGTCTAAAAACATTCCATTCATAGATTGCGTTCGATTCAAACTAGCCGTCAATCTCATTATGTCTGATGAGCACCATCAGGTAAAATATTTTTACAGAACCAATTTCTAGAATTCAGACCAATCGCATCATGCACTATTTGTTGTGCGACTTTCTTTAGATGTACTCGAGTTCCTTGTCAGAATATTGTATTGGATACAGAACTAGATGCGGAGATTCTACTTTGATAAAAAAAGAACTTTTGGTTTCTAATATCTTGTATTTTTGAAGAACGTTTCCTGTCAAATATGACATCTTTTGGTGGGAACCCTGATTTTATAGTGGAATTTTTAGTCGATTCTTTATGTCCTCATCTTTTCATCTTATCTTGATTTTCCTATCCTCTGTACTCGTTCTGAAAGTGTTCCCTCACTATCACAGCAGAACTGTGCGTCGCTGACATTTCGCATCTTTTTGTTTCCAAGAATCTGCTCAATTATTTTGTTAATACAGAGTATTTTTCTTACAATTTCACGAACAATGTTGTGCTCACTGAAATCAATGCACTTAGTACCATTTCGCTGGCGTAAACAATGATGCAGTCACCATTTAACAGGTTTCTGTTAACAAATTTCATGACAAGAATGTCAACAAAGATCTATATTACTATAGACAGAAGCATTTGAATTAAACGAAAAATATATGAACTCAATGTTGTTCTCTAGTGTCCTCCTAGTACACATATGAATTTGAAGTTTTCTAATAAAATAACTTTTTAGTGCACCACTCTCAGATGACTATTTACATGTCTATATCAGATTCCCATGTCATGATGAATGATTCAGAGGGTAAACTCAATGTAAAAACTGTATGTAGAGAATAGCACTCTTCTAAATCATATACTGTCCATCTTCTTTTCTTTATTATGTTCTAGAAGAAACATATTTCAACTCATAAGTTGGATTGCCTATTCTTTGCATCGATAATTGCGATGTTTATCAATGCATTTATTCGTGTAAGATGTATAGTAAGTGGGTGAATCCATGGAGACCCATCCACTTTTTTGGAAAGGTCTTTTTTTTTCGATTTTTTTTTGTTCAAAGGGCTGATCTCGACTAGAAAACACTTTTGGTCAAAAAAAAATTAAATACTCTCTATCAAAAATTCCGAGTTTTCGAGCATTTTCTCGGAACACCTATGGTGTACTTTTATATATAGGGAAAATGGCATGAAATAGGATAGAAATTTTTTAAAAACAATTTTTTCGGATGTTTTTGGTTTTCGAAAATATAAACAAAGTCTAGAAACATGTTTCTTGAGGTACATCAGATCAATCCTAATGGAGGTTTTCAATGCTTAGTCATTTTCTCTGAACATATCAATAGCTATATTTCGTCAACATAGATTGTATTCAATTAAATTGAATAATTTTTATTTTCTTCGCCTCGTGGAATATAACAACTTTCATGATACTATCCTCACAGAACGAAATCGTACTGACAACTCCGCCCTGATAACTAGAAGGATTTGCTAGTATACCGTCTTCAAAAAGTGAGACCATGGAATCGAAAGGGACACTACTATCGAAATGATAGATATTCCATTTCTCTTTAAGGACATCTTTAGATATAGAGTCTTGTTCAAAAATGTTGTGATTTCACACGAATAAGATTACGAGATGAATCATTGGATATTAGAAAATATCGACTACCCATCAGTATCTCTTTATCTTTAAAAATCTATTCCAATGCCACGACGAAAAAATTGTGAACATCCGATAAAGCATGAAAAATCTGGATGTGTACCAAAAGGAGTCAAGGCCGTGTCATCCGAACTATCGAAATTTTTGATCAGTCAGTATGATGTGCCTTACACCCGAATTTGCTGGTTATGTGCAAGATGTCATACATTTGAATCGAAGAAAATGATGACTCATCAATCAGAGAAGCTCAACGACAATGAAAGTTCAAGTGATGATGAATCAATGACACAAGATTCTCCTGTCAATGATGACAGAAATGATGATGATTATGTCAATGTTGAATTTAATGATCTGAATGAAGAAGAGAAAGAAAATCCACATATGGACAGTGGTATCACAGCTGAGTCAAACGACGATGATGAATCACCACGTGTTGATGAAACAACTGATCCTGAATCAATGGATGAAGATACATGCCATGCTTTTTATGAACTTGAACATCAAAAAGAAAAAGCGATGGAACAATTATCAAATGTATTTCAACTATTGAACATAGACCCGATCCATGACAGGTTAGATTTGTAAATTTAAATTAAATTTTCTAAAAGGAAATTTGTATTTAGATCAGCAGTATTACCCATTCGAGCCAAAGTCGATGAGGTATATAGAAAACTTAATCGATTATGTGACGTATTAGATGAAAAATCTCAAGTTTCGTATGATCCAAATCCTCATGGATTAAGGATATGTGAATCAAATGATCTTTTGGATGGATTAAAGAAGTTATATGCTAATAGTAATGACAGTGAACAAGTTCGTTTGATGACAATTGCTCCCAAAGAATGGGGTCGACAAAAAATTGAAAAATGGTGCGTATTCTATCCTCCTTTCGTCCGATATCTTCGCATTTTTCCAATCAAATGTTACTAAAAACTTCTTTCACTTATTAGGTTTAAATCAAAGCCAAATCAGGCTCGACGATCGCTTGTTCTTCGAAAAAATAATGGGATATTAGCCTATCCACAATGCCTACGAGGAAATATTCCTTTATCTGATTCAACAATTGATGCTGTAGTCAATTTCTATCGTGAAGATGGTATTAGTCGAACCTCATCCAATTCCAAAGACACAATTAAAATTAAAGGACAACCAGTGGCAGTTCGGTTTTTAGAAATGAGTGTCTTGGATGCTTATCATATCTTCAATGAACGACATCCTGGAACTGTTGCAAGATCAACCTTTAATGCTCTTCGTCCACGTGAAGTAAAAACTGTAACACCACATGAAACGTGCATGTGTATTATACATGAGAACATGGATCTATTATTGAAGGTTTGTACCAGCTGTATATTGATTCGAATGTAACGTAGCTTTATTACAGGGATGGAACAACTACTACCGAAAATGTGTCAATGCAGGTTCTTTGTCAACTGGTGACAAGGTCAATATGAAAGATCTGATTACTCAAATGGTTTGCACTGTCTCGAATGAAAAGTGCTTTAATGGTGAATGTGATGAATGTCCAACTGAAAGCATCACAGATATTCTCACAGATAACAATATGATCGATTTGGATGACGAATGTTCATGGAATTTGTGGAAGAAAGTCAATAACAAGTTCGACCTTCAGCAGATGTCTGGCTCAACTGACTCTTTATTAACGGACATTGAAGAAAGATGGTCTCCATTCTTGCTTCACACACATATTAATCGTGAACAACGTGAATATATCATAGAGCTACGCTGCCAATCAACAGAAAAGACTTTCGTTGTTGCTCAAATAGATTTTTCAATGAATTATACATTGGTACGTCAGCGTGAAGTTCAACAAGGATTTTTTAGTCAGCACCAAGTTACCTTATTTACAATTCATCTGACCATTGGAAAAGAACAACGAAATTTAGCGATCATTAGTGATTATATGGAACACACAACGGTATTCGTACACTGTGTACAAAAAATTCTCACTCGATTTATCAAGAAAAATTTTCCGTTGGTAAAGAAGATCAATTATGTGAGGTAAGTTTTACTGTTTTTGAAGTTTATGTATGACGTCAATCCTTTCCTTTTCTTTAGCGATGGTGCGTGTGCACATTTCAAAAACAATGCCAGCATTTTGAACCTAATCCACCACAAGATCGATTTTGATTTGGATGCTTGTTGGACATTTACAGCTACAGGACATGGTAAGGGTGCTGGCGATGGAATTGGTGCGGTACTCAAGTCCACGGCTAGACGTGCTACACTTTCCAAGAACATTCTCATGTCAAATGCAAAAGACTTCTACGAATTCACCCAGAAACAACAACTTGAAACGGCAAGAAGATCTAACAAGGATATTCCTGGTGTTCATGTGTTCTTTCTTGAATCAGATGAAGTAGAAGAAGCGAAGAACAGTTATCTGCAAGCTAGAAGCGAAAAACTTCGAGCAGCTGGTGAGAAAGACTTTCTCTTCTATTCCTTAATGTCTGTATTTATTTAGGTACAATACAAGGCATTCGAAGTATGCATGAATTCAAACCAATCAACAATTCAACTGTTCAATATAGTTTGACATCTCGGTCAACAAAGATCAGGACATTTACATTCAAATAAAAATCCTCTTTATATCTTTTTCAGTCAATCAAATTTTTTAAAATCAACCCTGATGATGATACTCAGTATTCAGATATAAAGGATAGCCCTCTTCATCTCCTCCTTATACTAGATTTCTGTAGTCTTATGTTCATGGATAACCAGAAAATGACTGAGCATTCAAAACGTTCATTAGGATTGATCTGATGTACCTCAAGAAACATGTTTCTAGACTTTGTTTATATTTTTGAAAACCAAAAAAATCCGAAAAAATTGTTTTTAAAAAATTTCTATCCTATTTCATGCCATTTTCCCTATATATAAAAGTACACCATAGGTGTTCCGAGAAAATGCTCGAAAACTCGGAATTTTTGATAGAGAGTATTTAATTTTTTTTTGACCAAAAGTGTTTTCTAGTCGAGATCAGCCTTTTGAACAAAAAAAAATCGAAAAAAAAGACCTTTCCAAAAAGTGGATGGGTCTCCATGGATTCACCCTTATCTTCTAACCGTTTGTGTAACATCGAAGGATATTCAGCGTGAGCGACACGATCAAAATCGCTTTACTTTGGTTTTGATATACTGCCGGCGAATATCGACACATGTGATGAGACAAAAAGTAGTTTTCTGAATCCTATTCGGTTAAAAATTACAGTTCAGTTTATTACCACAATAAAATATTATATTGTGAGCTTAAAAACTTCACCTTGTACAACATATCTGATTAATCTGTGTATCAAATAACCTTATATCGTTAGCTCATTACATATAGCTATCAAAAAAACAAACTGAGGAGAAAGGTGTCAAATATTATCCAAAAATGTTCGACTCAGAATGGTTCGTGTAACTTGTTTATGCTATGTTCAATACACGCATCGTAACGACGAATATGCTGTCTCTCTTACGGAAATGACAACATGTGAATATTTTCTGCTGAATTCATTCACAAGTCTTTCCAAATCTCTTTGCTCAATTCATATCTGCAAAATGCAATAGATGAATAAAGCAGAAACACAATAATGAGTTATTTATGGGTGTCTCTTCGTATTCTAGAATCTATTAATCCAACCAGCAAGTTCAAAGATGTCTTTTTTTTTATTTATTAGCCCTCGATAAAAAACAAACGTTAACAACGAATGATGTAAGAGAAATCGACCATGATTCGAACTGAAATTTCAGCATTGGTTTGAACGCTTAGCCGATACACAAATTCAATCCCAAACCCAAACCCAAACCCAAACTCAATACCCAAACCCAAACCCAAACTCAAACTCAATAACCAAACCCAAACCCCCAAACAGTTTGGGTTTGGATTTGGGTTTGGTGCATGCCTAAGTAGAAGTGTGGTTGATGGTTTTGGTTCAGGAATCGAAGTTTTGATGGATGTAGAACATGTTGTTGAGGAAGTATTTGTCGATGGATGATTTGCTTTTGGTGGAAGATGATGATTCTTCAATTAAGGTTGTGTGTTTTGTTTCGGGTTTTGTTTCTGTTTGTTGTGATTGCTGGTGCACTGCTGTGTGTATTTTATTATGCTGTAAAGAAAAAAGAACTGTTCATTTTAATTTGTTGTGGTATATGTAGATTTTTACGCTCACTTGATTGAAACGGAGTTGAAGGGAGACGATTTATTTTGTTGTGGTTGTTGATCGTTCGTTGGTTCCTTCGGGATAGACATAAAGTGGAATAGAGGTGTCGGTGGCATTTAGAATTGGTTTTTTATCACGTATTTGAAGTGATTCTTTAATGAGCAAGCGAGTAGGTAATGAATCTTGGTCTAAGATTTGCACATTTTTGAAATCGATCGAATGTGCAGTTTGTTTAACATGTTTGCCAACAGCTGATTTAGGTGTGTATCCGGATTCTTCATGAAGTATCGGTTGTTGTTGATGGAGAATTTGGTTTTGTTTTTCTGCTATTCGTTTGCTTCGACGTAAATTTTCAGTTGATATATTCTTTTGTATACAACCTTCATGTATTCCTTTTTTCTTTCGATTTTGTTCGCTGGTTCGGTGCGTATATGAAAATAATCTTTGAATGTACATCTGGGCTTTTTCTGTGTCTTTCTCATGTTCGTTCAAACGTCTTGCTGTTTGTCGAATAGTTTTCCCGATGTAAGTTTTCTTACAATCATTGCAGGTTATTTGATATACAACACCAGCTTTTTGATTATCATCAAGTGGATCTTTTGTTGGAAAGAATCTTTTTGTTGGATTTGTTGCTCGATAAATTACACGAAGATCAGATGTTGAATCATTGATTTTAATAAGTTTTTTAAGTTTTTTTCCGAATTCATAACTTGCACGACCAACATAAGGTAATTCAATGTATGAATACTTTTTCTTCTGATCTACACGCTGTTGAATTTTATTTGCTGCTGCTGTTGATTCATAATATTTATTTAGTTGCTTGCATATAATGTTCTCAACAAATCGAAGAGGATAATCATTATAATTAGCCATCATTCGAATATATTCAAGTTCATTATGTAATAATTTGTATGTAGAACATATTCTAATTGCTCTTGTTACTAATGGTGAGATTGATGTTGTTTTATAAGCTTTTGGAGCTAAACTATGCCATTTTAACATAAGTTTTGTCGCTGTGTTTTTCCTGTAAACTGTTGTATCATAACCTTTATCATGTCGTTTGACTAAAACGTCAAGAAAAGCCATCGTATCATCAATTTCAGGTTGGACAGTAAATTTAATACAAGGATGAAATGAATTTAATACTTGTTTAATTTCATCATAATTTGCATCCATCTGAGCAATAACAAATGTATCATCAACATAACGACGCCATGCAAGTAACTTAGAATCTATTTGATTCAATAAAATCGGCAAATAAGTCTCTTCAAAATGTGCCATAAATACTTCAGCAAATATTGCGGCTAATGGTGTTCCCATGGAAACACCATCTGACTGGTCGTAATATTTGTTATTGAAGAGAAAATGAGTACGCCTAGTTGCAAACTCTATTAATTGGCGAAAATAATATTCAGGAATAAAAGGTCTTAATTTTGGATCTCTACAATATAGTTTATCACATATAATGTCGATAGTTTCATTAACAGGAATATTTGTAAATAAACTTTCTATATCGAAACTAATCATTTTATTGTTTTTCAATAAATCTGAATTATTTCGTAAGAATTGTAAGAAATCCATGTTGTTCTTCAATGAATAATTACTGTGACGAATTGGCTTGATGATGTTGGCTAAATATTTTCCGAGTCGGTAATTATATGATTGTACGCATGAAACGATTGGTCGTAAAGGTACATTAATTTGAGTTTTGTGCACCTTAGGTAAACCATATAATCTTGCTGAAATTGAACCGACTGGTCTAATATATTGATATTCTTTTTGTGTCAAGTATTGTTCATTTTTAATTTGTAGCAACAGGTTTGTTAAAGAATTTTCCCGAGAAATTGTTGGATCTTCCTTTAACAAGGTAAATTTTGATTTATTATTTAACATTGATTCCATCGTTTTGATGTAATAATTACGATCAAGTATAACTGTACCACGACCTTTATCAGGTTTTGTAATTAAAATCGATGGATCTTTTGATAAATTTAATAAAATATTTTCTTCGTTTTTTTCATTTAAATATTTTTTTCTTCTTGTTGCTACTGATATGTTGGCATGATTGAAAAATTTTTCTGTTGCATTTTTTAAATTTGCTGCAAGTGATAATTGTTTTGGTTCTAAAATTCGAACATCTTTATTGATCATATTATCAGGTTCTTCGTCCCATTTTTTATAATCAAGTACTTCTTTTTGAACACCAGATGTACGACGAAATAAGTATTCAACATTTGAAATAACTTGAGAACGATTTATTTTACCAGCACGATTGTAAGTCAATCCTTTTTCTAATACGTGCAATTCTTCTGAGTTTAACTTTCGACCTGATAAATTCCATACTAATTTTTCCTTATGATTATTATTATTATAAGTTGTATATATCATTTCATTTCTGGAGCTGGTATTAAAGAAAGTATATACACGATTTGTTCTTTGTTGTTGTTGTTGCTGTTGTTGTTGGTTTCTTTTTAAAATCAAACCGTTTAATTTTTTATAATGTGTAAAATATTTCTCATGTTGTTCTTCAATTTGAAGTGAAGAAATGATCTGATTAATTTCCGTAATAATTTCAAGTGGAAAAATATTAACCAATTCATTATATGCATCTCTTCTTGACTTAGATAAATATTTTATATTTTTCTTTTTTAAATTAATTTCTTCATTCAAAAGGATACGTTGACACTGTTTGTATGCATTTGAATACAATAGCATTTCATTTGCAACATTGAATTGAAGAAATATTGGAACAACATTGTTTTTTCTACATTCATTTAAAAATTTCAGGTCACATGAAAGACGTACTGTTTTAATCATAATTCTTTCATAATATTGATATAACTTGTACGCTTCATAACCATAATTTACTTTGATGAATGTAAATCTTGTTTTGATCGAGAAAGAAAGATTCTTATTAATCTTCTTATTTGAAGTATTAGCATTAAGATTAGATGTCATTGTATAAATACTATGTAAACAGATATAAAGTGGTACTACAGCAACTAAACACAAATTATTTATTCAGCTTAAAAAAAGCAGAAATTTAATATTACTTACCAAACAAAATAACAACGAGTCGTATAAAGATCTTTCGAACAGTCAATAATTAACGAGAACAATAAACACTAAACAAAAACGAAATATTCAAAGAAAATTTCTTCAAAAACAACATACAACTTGACACAACAGAATCGAAACGATTACTATAATACGACAATATGATATCACGTATATATCTAAACAAAAAGTTGAAAGAAGTATTTTTTTTTGAACATATGACATACTTTAGAATTGAAGAAAATCAAAAATATTGTGGCAACAAACGATAACCAAATAATATAAACATCGACCTAAAACGAAAGATCACATTTGAATAATTTACAAAACCTATTTTAAGAAAAATATTTGTTGAATATTAGACAAAAAAATAGTCCCCATAAACATAAATTAAGTTCTTTGAGTGAAAAAAGAATTTCATACATTCATTCGTAAAGATCATGAATGATATTTTAGTTTGAAAAACAAACCTCAAGCATAACCATTTGCTGCTCTGGTATACTTACAAAATAGAGACGGTGTTTCACCTTCGATTTAAGTCTAGCTAATTGTGAAATGTATCAGTTCCTAAAAACAATAAGAACCAATCAAACTGAAAAAAATATTGAATTTTTGTACTAACTACGCGATTCGACCAAATCCAATGCCTGATAGTGATCGTCAAACGCAGCTACTTCAGCAAAAAAGATTGATAATAATTTAAATATAAATCTTAAGAATCGATTAGAAATCGAACACAAACACAGAATCGATACAAAGGAAAAAAAACAAAAAAAAGATAAATAATAAATATCAAATGTTCAACTTACCAAACTATTCCACTTCAAACACATGAATTATACGACGATATCACGAGAATACAACGAAGACAGAGAGTAATCTGAAAAAAGCCTAAAAACCTTATGTACAATGAAACCATATCCAACTATGACTAAAAATATTTCCCCTTCGAAAACCAACACTATCTCAATCACGAACATAATCTCTTCTAATCACAACCAATCTCCTATACATAATATATTGAGCTACACTTTCTCCTCAGTTCCGTTTCCAATCAAACCGACACCATCTTAAAACACCTACACATTCACACTATCATACCATATCACGTACATCCAACCAACAATGTAAATCGTATACATACAATCCATAAGAATGTCATGATCATATATGTTGCTATTTTCCTCTTCTCTACATAACTAAGATGAAAAACATTATGCTTTACCTTATGTTAAACTATTCTTTCGAATAAATTTACGAATATCGACAATGATGAGAAGAAAAATGCAATTTTTCCAATTAGCTAGTAGATCTACCTATCTTGATTCTGATATATCACTAATAAACAATTCCTGGTATTTAAAAATATAATTCATATTAATTTATTCATTACGGAAATCAACCAGGTTCATTTACAACAAAAACAAGATTACAATAAGAAATAAAATAGAAAGGAAAAAAAGAAAAAAGATTAAATTTAATTAATTCATAATTTTATTATGAAATTTATTTATATGTATCAACTATTATTAATTTATTGATAATGGTTTTAGACAAGCCGAAAGCTCTAAAATTTAACATTTGTACCATCATCAACAATAATATTGGTGTTACATGATCAACACCATTGTATACAATTACATATGATCAACAATATGATCAACATTAACATCAAGTTAATTCTAAATAAAATATAATAAAATAAAATGTTATAAAATAAAATAAATAATAAAAATTCTTTTACCATTTGAATCCGATTGGCATATATTTAATCATTATGATAACGTGATTATAGATGCTGTTGTTCTGTGGTTCATATAACATCATGTTTCAATCTATATAAAATAAAGAATATTAAAATTTTTCATTTAACAAAAATTTTATTTAAATGTTATTATTTGATTATTTCCATTATATTTCATTTT